ACATTTGGAGAGGGTGAGGGAGGTGGGATGGGATAATGGGATGGGATGGGATGAAACAGGAATGGAATAGGGATGGAAGAGGGATGGGGTGGGATGGGATGGGATTGGGATGGGATAATGGGATGGAATAGGGATGAAATAGGGATGGAATAGGGATGGGGTGGGATGGGATTGGGATGGGATAATGGGATGGGATGGAATAGGGATGGGGTGGGATGTGGTTTCCAGTGCCAGGACAGGTTTCCCCCTCCCCCCACAGCCATAAAATCTGGGATTTCAGGGTGACAAAAGCGACCTTTGTGTCCCAAATCCCTCTGCAAACGGCTCCTGATTCCAGCTGGATTGGCTGGAGGGAATTCTCCAAAGGATGGGAATCCTCCAGCGGGACAATCCCGGGAAGAGCTCCCAGGGTCAGGGGGTGGCCCTGGTGGCTCCAGCTGTCCCTGTCTGGGGGATCCCTGCAGACACAGCCACGCTCCAGCCGGGATAATCCCCCTGATCCCAAAAAACCGCCCGGGGCTATTTCAGGGAGGACACAAACCAAACACCAACTGCTGCCCCCATCCCCCGACCCCTCCGTGGGCTCAGCTGTGCTCCCGCTCTGCCCCTTCCCAAGGCTCCCACAAACCCAGCGCGGATTTGCCGGAATTTTCTTGGCCTGGGTGGGCTTTGTCGGTTTTCCCTTTGGAGAGGGTTTTCCCTGCTGGAGAGTTTCAGATGCAGGGGTTTGGGCTGATCCCAGGTGCAATAACAGCAGGAGGATCCCTCAGAAATGTGGGAGCAGGGATGGGCTCCTTCCCAGGAATGGACACTTCCCATTTTTTGGGGCCTGGCTTGGTTTAATGAAGTTGGGATTTGTGGGATTTCCATACAGGACTATTTCTTATCGTTATTATTGTTATTTTTGTTATTACTATCATTATTTTTTAGTATTTTTATTAATGATATTTATATTGATATTTTATTTTTATTCTTACTTTCATTTTTAATTTTTATTACAGGTTGTACTCCAAGGGCGAACATTATCATTCCTCCCTTCCATTCCACTTCAAACCATTCCCTTTTCCCATTTCATGGAGATTTTTGGGATTGATCCGAGCAACCAGGAATGAGTCCAAGAGGAAAATCCCATCCAGCACCTCCTTAATCCAAACCTTCCTCAGAATTCCAGAGTGCTTTTCCTTGGGAAAGACCTTTAGGATCATCCCATTCCAACTATCCCAGGCTGCTCCAAGCCCCATCCAACCTTTCCTCGGACACTTCAGGAATCCAGGGGTGGATGCAGCTCCCTGGGGAATTTTCTCCAGGTCCCCGTGTGCCAGAAAAGATTCCCAATCCCCCAAAGATCGGGATTGGATTTTTTGGGAGCGTCACAAAAGCAGAGGGAATTTCAGCATCACCCAAACACCCCGAGCAGGGCCAGGGCTGGGATTATAGCCAATAAAAAGTGGGAATGGTTCCTTTTCCCCACCCATTCCCTTCCCAAAATTAGGATATTCTGGTCCCAAAACCTGCAGGAGGCTGCTGTGTAATTATTATTATTATTAATAATTAATTGATTGATTGATTAATCAGGATATCTCCTCCAATGACAACTGGGCTGGGATCTCCCCGGCTGAGCAAGAGGAGGAAATCAAAGGGAAAATAAAAAGGTTTGGAAGAGCAAACCTTGGAGATTTTGGCTCCATGAATGCCAGGATTAAGTTGGAAAAATCTTTCAGATCCTAAAACCCAACCATTTATGCCACGGGGAGATTTTCCCTCTGCCAGCACCTCCCAGATAAAAATCATTCCCGCATTTTCCCTTCTCCCGAGCCCTGCTGGTGTCAGACCCGACTTTTGCAGCTCCTTTTGCCACAAATTCTCCTCTCTGCAGCGCTCCCCACCTTAGGCCGCTCTTAATTCCTTAATCCTGGAATTATCCCGGATTTCCAGCCTCACCCTGCCGGATTTCAGGCACTCCAGCCAGGTGGAATTCCACCCGTTTGTCCGGGCAGCTCTTACCGGGCTATTCCAGGGAAATGTTGGGAAGATTTCCCTGGATTGTCAGGAGAGCTGGAACGAAGCCGAGCTGAGCCCAAGTTTTTCCCCCATTTCAAATGTCCCTAAAATCCCAGAAGAGGGATTTGAGCCGCAGGGAAGAGGGCCCTGATTTCCCACACTTTGCCCTCCTTCCCAGAGATTTTTCCCGGTGCTGGATTTCCCTCCCCGGTTGGAATGCAGGGACACCCCGGATCCAACTCCCAATCCTGGGATAATCCCAGCCATGGGAAAGGATTTCCCATCCCGTTATTCCAACGGGAATATCGGGAATGACAGCGCGGGGTTGGGGACGCTCCGGGCTCTGCTCCATCCCAGCATGGAGGAGCTGCAGAGATCCCGGGAATGAGAATTCCAAGATTCCCGGTTCAACCAGGAATTGTGTCCTGGAATCCTGGAATTTTTTGATCCAAGCCCTCAGCTGAGCCTGGCTCTGCTCTGCCCGGAGGGGAGCGCTTTAAGCTCAGCTCAGAGCCGGAATTAAATCCCTGCATCCCCGTCCTGCTGTTTTTCCCCGTGGATTTTTCCTTGTTGCTCCTAGGAAAGGGAAAATTTATGGCAGCAGCTCCCTCAGAGCCACCGAGCAAATATCAAATTATTTACATCCCCTTTAGAAACAATAACAACAAATCCTCTAATAAATAACGATGACAACAAAATCGATAACAAACACTAATGCACATTTTATAATAAATACAAATAATAACAAATTTTATAATAAATCCATAAAATCTCTCCCTGCTGACCACTCTCTATCCCATTCCCTCCTTCCAAAATCTGTTTAAAAATCCGATTAGCTGGAAAAAGAAGCGGCAGCTCCAAGAGAAACCAGGACAGGGGGGTGACAAGGGGTGACATTTTCCTGCCTGGAAAGGGGGGGACACTCGCGATCTCTGCAATTCCCAGAGTGCCAGGAGGGATTTAGGAACCCTCTGCGAATTCCTTCTGCTGTCAAGAGCGGTTAGAAAAGTGCCTGGAACGGGAATTTAAGCCTGGCCTAACTAAACCGGGCAGGGTTTGGAGCAGCAGGACCTGAACTCAGTAAAAAATCCGAAGGGATTTTTTATTTTTTATTTTTTTTTTTGGGAAGGACTCATGGGATTAACAAATCCAGCTCCAGGAGGGGCTTTAGGAAAACTTCTGTGTTTTCCCAGCAATCCCATGGATTTCTGAGCCCTCTGGGATTCTGGAAGAGCTGTTCCCAATTTTTGCCCTGGGGACACGGGGACACCTCCCAGCTCATCCCTCGGGATGGAAAGGATCTCTTGGAATGGGGTATCCCAAAAAAAATCCCACTGTGGGTTTGAGGCAGCTGACACTGGGTGTACTGGGAGAGAGGAGTGAGCCAGGAATGGGAATGGGAATGGGAATGGGGGAATGGGGAATGGGAATGGGGAATGGGAATGGGGATGGGGATGGGAATGGGAATGGGAGATGCAGCCTTGCCCGGTTTTTTTGCATCCTGAAATTTCCCCATCTCCAGCCTGGCTGCTTCCCAATCCCGATTTTCCCAGTCCCAGGAATTGCAGGAATTCTGGAGCAGAGAGCAGCAGGTGCTGCAGGACCTGGATACGGCCCCAAAGTCAGGAGATGCCGATCCAGCCCTGGAATGTGGGAAAATCCTCATCCATCCCTAAAATCCCAACAAATCTCCAAGTGGTTCTCCCGATTTCCCCAATTTTCTTTGGATTTTGGAAGGTCTCTGCACACATTTAGCAGGGATGGACTCAGACAGGGATTGTTTTCCAAGGGGCTGATCCTTCTCATTTATTGAGGAGAAGTTTCCTGCTGGAAAAGTTGGAAATCCCCTCCCTGCCAGCTCTGCACAAGATTCCAAACTATCAAATCCAGGGATAAGGCCCAGGCTGGTGGATTCTGGAGGGTCAGGAAGGACCTGACTGGAGCCAGAATGATCCCAATCCCAATCCAAATCCCAATCCCAATCCAAATCCCATTTCCATCCCTCCTGGAGAGCAGATCCCACTTTCCATGGGTGTCCTGCTCCTTCCTGGACTGGAAAACTCTGGGAAATGGGAGCAGGAGTGAGAATCCCAGGGATGGGGAAAGCCAGGAGAGCTCCTGTCACAGCAGAATTCCAGCACTGGCTCCATATCCAGTGGCTGATTCCCGAGGAAATGTCCCTTCCCTGCTTCCTGAAAGATTTGGAGCTGCAGGTTTTAAATAAATTCCCAGTTTGGATGGATTTATCCCGGTTTTCCAGCCTTGGAAAGCCTGGTGTGTGCAGGAAGGGGTGGAAAGTGCCAAGGAGCAAAGGGTTCCTACAACTTCCCTGTTTTCCCTGAATTTAATTCCAAAGGAAAGGCTCTGTTTCATTGGGAATAAGGAGATTTGCAAGGAAAGGAGATGGATTGGGAATGAAATTATCTTGGAGGGGGTGGAGAAGAAGGAAAGGGAAAGGGAGAGGGAAGAAGGAGAAGGGAAGAAGGGAAAGAGGAAGGGAAAGGGAGGAGAAAAAGTGAAGGGAAAGGAAAAGGAAGAAATGAAAAGGAAAAAAATAACAAAAGGAAAAGGAACAGGAGGGGGGAAAAAAAGAGAAGAAAAAGAGGAAAAAACGAAAGAGAAATTAAAAAAAAATAAAAGCAGAATAAAAAACTTAAAAGGGGAAAAAAAATTAGAAAAATATGAAAAAAAAAGCAAATTTGTCCCTTCTCCATAGGCAGATCCCGAAATCCTGCCCCAGCCGCTGTCCCGGATCCCTGTCAAACCTCACACGTCCTGCCCGCAGCTTTCCGAGCGATCCCAACTCCGGGGAAGCACAGACCAGACATTTTCACCGCAGCCCCCGGAGCCCGCCTGCACTCCGGATCCTCCAGCGGATCCCAAAAACCCCAGACAATCTCTTTTTAATCCTTCATCCACTCATTTATCGGCAGGAAGAAAAAAAACCAAAAATAATAAAAATAAATAAAAAAAAAAAAAACCCTAAAACTGGGACTCACCAGCGCGTAGACGGAGCTGAGCACGGAGCAGCAGAGGATCAAACCCAGGCTGGGATACACCAGATATGATCCCATATCCAAGGGGCTGCTTCCAGCATCCAGCCCCGCGCAGGGAAGCAGGAGGAGGCGAGCTCGGAATTCCAGCGGCGCGGATTTCTCGCCGTCCTCCCCCGTTTTTCCCCAGCCCTGCGGGGAATCCGCGGGATTTGCGTTGCTTTTGGTGAGACTCCCGCAGTTTTTTTTTTTTTTTTTTTTTTTTTCTTTTTTTTTTTTTTTTTTGCTTTTTTTATTTATTTAGTTTTGTTTGTTTTTTTTTTTTTCTTTTCTTAACCAGAAAGGCACATGACGAGAGATCTCGGGTTTTTTCCTCGTTTTCTCATGGCTGGAGTAGAGGGCAGTTCCCAAAATTGCAACGCGGA